AGCAATAAGGTGTCCCCTGAACCTCATTTTCCCCAGCACTCTCAGCCACTTCTCATAGGATGAGTGCTCCAGAACCATTGCCAGCTTCATTGCCCTTCTTTGGACTTGCTCCAGCACCTCAGCGGTCTTCCTCAGTTGGGGATCCCAAACTGAACACAATATTCAAATGCAGCCTCACTGGTGGCAGGTACAGGGGAAGAATCACTTCCCTGGTCCTGCTGGCCATACTATTTCTGATGCAGGCCAGGCTGCCATTTGCCTTCTTGGCCACCTGGGCACCCTGCTGGTTCATGTTCAGCTGGATATTGACCAACACCTCAAGGTCCTTTGCCATTGGGCCCCTTCCCTTTGCATAAACCCACTTGAACTTTGCTTAGGATTCAACTTTCCAGTAGTGATACATACATTTTGTTTGTGTTTCTGTGTGATTAGTAAAAAGTCTGCATTCTGGGCACTGTTTTGTCTGGATTACTGAGCACATAGTTTGTAGCATAAGGAGTGTTTATAAAGTCATAACCATTCTATAGTGAGAGTTGCTGAAGAATTCTTCAGTTTGCACATCCGCAATTAGTTTTGTTAACAAATTTGAAATCTGTTAGGGGTAGAGATGAAATATTCCTCCTCTTACCCAGTTGTTGGCACAAGAGTATTCCTTCCTTTGTAATGATTTTTTTGCAGTATAAGCTGTTAAATCTTAGTAGCTGTAAATAGAAGCAAAATGTGTGTTCAGTGCGCTCTTCTTTGGTGTTTTGTTCTTCAGTGGTCCAAACATTCTCAGAGTAAGGGAAGTGATTTTCTTCTAATTTAACTACAGGAAAACTACCATGTCTCAAAAACTAGTTAGGTGTTTGTCAGAAATGCCCTAGGCCCTTTAGTCTTAAAAATACTGGTCTTTAGCTTAATAGTGCACTCATGAGGTATTTTAAAATGTTCTGACTTATCACATTGATTTTGTTACTTTAGGCTGAAAAGGACTCTGCCTGCACAGATCCATATTACTGCCTCTCTGACTTCATAGCACCACTCGATTCTGGCATTTGTGACTACTTAGGCCTTTTTGCAGTGGCCTGCTTTGGTGTAGATGATTTATGCAGTGAATTTAGGAAACAGGAGGATGAATACAACGTCATAATGGTGAAGGCTCTTGGTGATCGGTTGGCAGAGGTATGAGGTTTTATCACGTGTTTCCTTGCAACTTTAAGCAAACTGAGAGCCACTTGAGTAAGTGCAAGTGGGGCTAGCTCTAGCTGGGGATTTCAAGCTATAGCAGGGTTTCAGACATTATTGTTATTATTGTTGTTGTTGTTACTATTATCTGAAGATATTTACTGAAGTGGGAATGCTTCCTGAAGGGCAGCTAGTGCTGCTAAAATCATGTAGGATGCAGGAGCAGTTCAGTTCAGAAAAGCTGTTGCCCACAACAGCTTTGAGCTATAGGAAAAGTCCTCTGCTAAAAGGAGCAGCAGCAGCAAATGCTTGTATCTGACCACAGCATGGAGGCAAGAATGATGTGACCTTCCATAGCCAGACCTGGGTGAGACACCCAGATAGTCAAGACCTAATGACCTCAGTGCTATAATGAAGTGTCACTACCATAGGTTAATGAATTTTGTCTTTAGGTTGCTTGTCCACATCTTTACCCCTTTGAAGCAGGACAATTAAAAAAGCATGTCTACCAATAAGAGAAGTAACTTGAATTAGCAAAATAAGTGTTTCATGTGAACTTCAATTCTTTCAAATGTCTCACCTATGTTAAGAGCTCTCTTAAAAATGAAAATGGGAATGCGAGAAAGCATCTATCATTGTAAATCAATCAGCTATTGCATCAGTCTGTACAAAGTAAAAAAAAAACAAACAAAAAACTTTGCATTCTATTCCAAGGCATTTGCTGAGGAGCTTCATGAAAGAGTTCGAAGGGAATTCTGGGCTTACAGTAGTAGCGAGCAGCTGGATCTCTCTGGCCTACGCAAAATTAAATATGAGGGAATTCGCCCTGCCCCTGGATATCCCAGCCAGCCTGACCATACAGAAAAACTCACCATGTGGAAACTTGCAAACATTGAGGAAACAACAGGTAACTCTGCTTTGTTAAGACTCTTAAACTGCTTTTACTGTGAAATCAAAATTCCAACCAAAGAACAAATTGGCTGTTGCAGAATTACATAAAATACTAAACTGAGGTGTCTGGGAATTGCTGTCTTCCCCTTTTTATTCCCGTTTTTATTTTGCCTCATTCGAGGAAGAATTAGTAAAACATTGCCAGTGCTTTTGGTGGAGGAGTTGTGTCCCTAATTAGCAGATTGCATGCAAACAGGGTTCTGCTGCACAGGAAAAATTTCTGGCATCCTTATGGTGATAAGAAGACATTCCAGATAGAAACAGAAAAATCAATTCAGCAGAGGATTTCCTGGTCCACAGGAACCTTGAGATGGTAATTCTTAAAAAGGGATTAATTCCACTTGTTTTCGTCTTATATTTTGCATGTCAGATATTTCACTGGTACTTCCACAATTCCAAAAGTAACTTTCAGTGCTTCAAAACCTCATTTACCAAAATGTCCAAGTTTTTTTCCTTGAAACCATAGAGTTACTCTACAGTAATTGTAATGAAAGTCTGTGGTATGTTTAAAGTTCTGAGATTTTCTTAATGGTTAACAAGTGGAAAAAGGGGTTGGTTTCAGCTTTCATCTGAAAGCTGCTTGGTTGTTTTGAGTTTGCTTGAAGCCACCCAACATAAAAAAAGGCTCTGAATTTGTGCTTATTCTTAATTCAAAGAATAATAAAATCCTCATTCTCTTTTCCAGGAATTGGTCTAACAGAATCACTAGCAATGATACCTGCTTCTGCAGTTTCTGGCCTCTATTTTTCCAGTCCCAATTCCAAATATTTTGCTGTTGGCAAGATATGTAAAGATCAGGTAACTGAGACCATTCAAAATCATCTTATGAGCAGATGTCTTAAAAATTTTGTAAACATTTAAAGCTGGAGTTTCAAAATCTTCATCATATTTTGTGGTCATTTGCAGGTTGAAGATTACGCACTGAGAAAAAATTTGTCTGTGGCAGAAGTGGAGAAGTGGCTGGAACCCATTTTGGGATATGATACTGAACAGCTGTGATACTTGTGGGTGAACTTCCTTTTTTGATGGTCTGTTTGCCAGAAAGAACAAGAAAATTCTTCCCACTGGAAACAGCTTTCTTCCATCCACCTCGATAGCTTGTCTGATTGTCTTAAATTTTTAATCAAGGAACTTAATATTTCAAATCAAGTCTGCCTGGTGCCCTTGGCTTGGGACCATGAATGTATTCAGTTTCTCAGTCACAGCAGCATACTTTTATTTATTTTTATGTTTTCACAAAGATTCCAGCAGAGAAGCTAGGTGTAGGGTGAGATGGGGAAACTGCAAAGCTTTCCTGTTCTCTGGAAGATTTTGAAATCAGGGGCAAGAATTTCTCTCCCATGGCTGTGGATATGCATAGAACAGAATTTGACTTCTGTTATTTTAGTGTGTTTTGGCAAGTCCAGGGACAGAAATATGATGTGATTCTTCTGCAAAGTCACAAAATGTTTTATACTGAGTGATCAAGAACAACTGAAGTACAACAGATCTCCTTTTTAAAAATCATCTGCTCAGTGTTTAGTCTTGTGCTTGGGAGCACACATTGTTCTCGATGGTAGAACTATATTCTATACAATCTTCTGGAGTAGTATCCGAGATCTGTATTGGGAAATGAAATGACAGAGCCCATGGAGTTGTCTGCTTTGTGCTTCCTCTACCTTTCAGCAAGTCACAATCTGTCTATTCTGTATAAAGGGTACTGGCACTTCTTACCTTAATTCCTATCTTGTCAAGCTTAATTCATACACAAACAATCGTTTGTACATGAAAATTATGAGAACAGCATATTTGCTACTGTAGACAGCCAGAAAGCTTGGAGCTGACTTTTACAAAATTTTAACCTTCTAGAAACCTGGGATTTTCAAAGCAAATAGTACTGTCATATGTAACAGTTAATATTGTAGACTATTCTTCAGATTTAACTGAGTGTGCTAATTGTTCATAGTTTTCAGTAATTTCTGAAAAGTGTCTCAAGTATTACTTAAATGCTAATTTGTAAAATATTATGACAGAACCCCCTCATTTTTTTGGTCTCTAATTGTAAACAGAAGACCAATATTGTAAGGAAGATGTTCTTTTAATAGTTTATTGTAATCTGTTAATAGTACATAATTTTTGTAATGTCTTCTTCTGACTTTATGCTGAAAGAATCATCTTGTATCAACAGTTTAATAAAGATGGTGTTATCCTATTAGAATCCTTTAAATGGCAACAATAAAATGTGTGCAGTTATCTGACCAGATAATGTTAATATGTGCTTGTACCATGAACCTGAAATTATAGAAGCTGCTGTGGGGTTTTAAAAGTAGTTGTGTAAGTGTGTTCTTAACTGAATCTTTTAGAATGGCTCATCCTTTAATGACTTACAAAAATAATTTCTAAATGGATCTCCCCTCCCCCTGCCCCCTCCATGTCAAGAGACTTGTGACATGTCCTTGCTGAGCAGCTGATTTTTGTAGTGGGAATGGTTTCTCAGTAGAACACTCGTTTAGACTGCCAAAAATAAAGTAAAATGTTCTTAATATAAAAGATTATTTATTTCCTGAAATATGCAGCATATGAAAATTGAAATCCTCTCTGCTTTGTTTTTGGTAATTGCACTTCTGCTGATCAGTTTATTGCTTGGAATCTCTCCCCTCCGGCACTCTTCCATATTCTTACATTTGGAAGCAGAGTGCCTTATTAGTCTGAAAATTTGATTGTGTGAATGGGGTCAAAGTTTGACTTGCTCAGCTTGGTTTGTTTATTGATTTATTTTCCTGAAATCAGTGGCAGCCAGTTCAGTGAGTACAGCTGACAGCAGGAGGTCCCTGCTGTCTAACAGTGGTGGTGTTACCTGGTGTACAAGCAGAGGGTTTCAAACGGAGTGCAGCTGCTTTAGCAGTGGTATCACACATGGTAGGACACACTGAGGAAATCTTCATATTTGCCTGCAAAACTTGTCATTGGGACAGTCTGTTTGGAATAATTACTCCTTGTTATTATGCAAATGTTTTTATCAAGGACAGTTCCTTTAAAGCTTTGTTATTTTAAATTGTCAGCTGACATTTTGGGTAAGACAAATTTTCATTCTTGTCTCCAGAACTAAGGTAAATTGTGAAGCAAAAGAGTCTCATAATTGTACCAGGTAAGGCTATTTTACTTGAAAGGCTGACAAATCTAGAATGCATAAAATATTATTTGCAGTGCTTTTCTAAATACTACTAACAAAGGTTCTAGATGTAAGAGATAATGGGAAATTTAGAATGCATTGTAAATGGCTCTGGTTTAGTTCTTGTGAGTAATTGACTTTGGATACTCATTTTTTTCTTGTAAGTCAGGCCAGCAGCCTGGAGATTAAGTTTTGAGGCACATATATTTCATGACTGTCAGGAGGGAATATTACCCTTAAACCTGCCCCTTCATTACCAGGTCTGTTTCAGTGCTGCTGTTACTCCTGGGAAGAATCTAGTGCAGCTTATTTTGTCATGAGAGTGCTATCAAGGTCAGTTCATTTCTCAAAAAAAACCCCTAAAACTCGCCTTTTTTTTTATTTTTTTTTTATTTATTTATTTATTTATTTTTTGCAAGTATTTCTTCATTTTTTAAGCTTCTGGTTTCTTGTTTAACAGTGTGAAAGTTATACACCCTTTCAGTTAATTTCTGCTTCTTAAAACACAAGTCATATCCAGAAAATGAGGAGCATAGTGAGAGGCCTATGAGGGCCTTGCCTTTTCTAAAAGCATTTGTTTACTAGTAACAATGACTGGGTTTCATTAATTTCCCTTTTTAAATCTATGTCTGGTTTACCTGAGTGTGCCTTGAAACAAGTGGATTCAGGGTCTTAAAATGAAGTAAGTCCATTAATTAGTTCAGGAGGGTGGTTCCCCTCCTGAACTAATTAATGGACTTACTTCATTTTAAGAAAGAGTAGCACGTGTTCTCAGTCACTGGAGAAATGGATTCCTGTGCCCTCAGTTTATCACGGCCTTGTCACAGCCTGTTCAGCCCTGCTACAAAGTTGTTTCATTTGATTGTCAGGCTTCTGTAGGTGCCAGTTTTCAAATGAAGATGCCCTTTGAACAGAAGGCAAACACGTCCACTCTGCTTTCACACAGCATTTGTAAACTGTCCAGCTGAAGGCAGCACTGAAAAACCCAGTGGAGTTTGCCCCCATGTTTGTTCTAATAATACCAGCATGGCTGAAAGTCGCGAGTTTCTGACCATGCCACATGCCTGACATAAATAGCTGTGCAAAGGAGTCCTCAGCTGAGATTACCAAACTTGGTGGTTTGGGTTTGTGATTCAACTTCAGCCAGGATGGCAAAAGCAAGCTAGTAGTTATCCTTGCTGGCCTGAAGCTGCCGTGACGACTGCGGGATGAAAGGCCTCGTTTTCTTCCTCACTGCCCCAAGGCACCAGTGCGTCCTGTGCCTACAGCTCTGATCAGGCAATGGGCAGTGATCCCAGGCCAGGGTGGGTGGTCTCTGCTGTTCCTTCCTACAGAAAGAGCGTGAAGTATGTGGAGGGAGTGTGGAAACTCAAACTGAACCCATATTAGTTCTTAGCTCATGGTCTTTCCTGTCCCATCTCCCTGTCAAATTGGCCTCCTCTTCCTCCTTTTCCCTCCAGCAGTCCTGCTCCATAGCTGCACATCAGGGTTCTCTGTAGGTTCTGCCAAAATGAAACTGTAGGAGTCTTCTTTAAAAAAGTTTCTTTTATGTCTGAACAAGTTACTATTCCAGAAAAAGAAGATTTTTCACCTGGCAAGCATTGGATAATATTAATAAATGGTGCTCATACTGTGTATGTCAGTCATTGCTAAAATACTAACGAGAAAGCCACACAATGTGTTAAATTATTCCCTGTGTTTTAACTGCATCTTTAGTTACATAGTGGTTTTCATCTAGATAGCAACACCAAAATATGTTATTAATTGCATCCTTTGTCAGTGTGCTGTTTTAAGCCCACAATTAATAATAAGCTGATAGTAAAACTAAATAAAACTAATGTAATTTTCAACTGAAGTATTTTAATGGTATAAACTACCAAGAAGTAAAGAATCTATCTGTGCCTTGCTGTTATAATAAACGCTTTTAAAATTCTTTAGGCAGCTGATGACTTAAATATTTTATGAAGCAAAATTTATCTTGAGTAAAAACTCAGGTTACAAAACACTTATAATTTGATTGAAAAGGCTTTGTCACTGCTTTCTAGAAATAGCTGATAAAAATGATTTACAAGACTGGAAAGTTTGCTGCACTACCTGCAGAAATTTCTATGCATGTACTACATATAACAAAAGAAGGTAGAGTAGTGTGGGATTCACAGAGGGTAACTTAATTGCAGAAGAACAGGCAGTTCTTCAGGGAAGGGCTGAAAGATTAAGAGTTGTGGCAAACATAAGTCTCTTACAACCCAGATATTCGCAATATTAGAAATTGCAGTAAATGAAAAGAAAGGAAACATTTGTATGTATTCATCAATTTGAGAATAATTTTTAAGGAGACTTCATAAATCTAATGCACACTTGGGATTGATGAGTTGTATTTGCATGTTTAGAGTGGGAGAAGGAGGAAGAAATAATAATTAGGTCGTGAACTTGTTCTAGGGTTAAGTAAGCTGTAGAAAAAAAAGGATAGCCCATGTCACAACACCTTCCCCCCTGTTTTGAAGTTGTTGGATTCATTACTTACATGATTGTTTCTGAAAGGATTTTCAGTGACACTGGTATTCCCTGAAACTGGAAAAATATTGGGAGAAATGAAAACAAAATAGCCAGTTTTTCCCACAGTTTTCAAAAGTTAAAACTCTGCATCAGCTCTGTATCTGCACATAGGTAGGTGTCAGTGCAATTTTGACCCAAGAATTCCTTCAGTCTAGCAGATAAAATAGCTCTGGGTGTGTAGGTGTAATGGATTTTTTTTTTTCCTTACTCAAGGTGTTGAAAAGATCAATTTTTTTCCTATTAGAGTGCAACTTTTAGGGGATGTTTTGTTCTTACTTTACTTCTTTATATACTTGATCTGTACTTGTTTCTCCTTCTCTGGCTTCACAATACAAGTGTGGGGATGTGACTGAGAGTTCTCTAATGGCCTGCGAATACCATATGTTTGTGTTTTTAACTAAAAATACATATTATTTTCAGATTTTGTTGAATTTCATCAAGATTCTTGCCAAATGGCTTTTTCCCAGGAAGTGGACAACTTTATTCCTTTTGATCTGGCCATCAGCTGGAAATCTAGGTTGAGGTTCAGAAGTGGAGTGCAAATGTGAGGTCTGGAAAAGGTGTCAGTTCTCTGTGGTTGGTGGACTCCTTCCGTACTTCTGTTCCTGCTGTGACCTTGTGAGAACAACTGTGTTTGTCTCTCTCTGTGGATTAGGGTGGCGGTGGGACAGCAAGTCAGGGAGATGAAACACTGCCCTGCGTAGCCAAAGGACTTATTTAGCAGACTGCTCTTTGCAGGTGCATTGGTACAACGTGTGCTCCTGCCTGCTGGGTCAGGGCCTGTTTTCAACTGCTGTCTCAAGCTCATCTGTACCCAGCTGCTTTTATTTCAGGAAGCTGCCACTCGTGAGATCTCCTGCTAAGCACTGCACGAGGCCCTCTTTGCATAATCGGTCATTTGTAATGGCTGGCTTCACAGTAATTATCTGCTGGTACAGTTTTGGCCTTGTTTAATTTTTCTGTAACCAAATAGATGGCTTTCTTCAGAATACTAATGCAGAGCACATAAACACATTGTTTCTCTAAGGCCCATAAGATCAGATTTTACTATCACCACTTAACCTAACAACTTGACTCATGTGGTCGACGATTTGCTACTTACGAAAGCATGACCTTGTTTGTGCTTTATTTAGGAAATAAATGTAAGCACTTGGGTTTATTGCTTTTACTTTCTTCCAAATATTGTTCCTCACCTTTCAGGGCAACTAAAAGAATAGAAGCTTTGATTCAGTTGTTGTAATACCAGATATACACATATGGTAAGGACTACTGAAGCAAGACATTCAAAACTTAACATGAGGTAGGAGTGTATTTATTACCAAATAGCATCTTGTCTCTAAAGATAAGCATTACCTGAAAATGCTGTAAGACAGGAGTCAGCAGTCAGCTAGGGGTACATGAAGATTTTAGACTTTCAGATGTTGGATCAGCAGTATTTCATTAGGCATTCTATTGCATGCTTTGCCTCTTTCTGTGTCACTGTCTCCTACAACTGGAAGCTGCTACTGCAACCAGATTCCTGGTTATTCCACAAGAAGGGTTTGACATGGGTTTTGTTGAAGTTTTTTATGTGCATTTACGGGATTGTTTGTCCAAAAGAGTTTAAAGAACCACACTGAAGATAAATTATTCAAGTTCTTGAACCATAAAATACTTGTTTTTCCTCAAAAAGTTCCCAGGTACTAAAATACAAAATACATTTTTTATTACTTAGTGAACAGAACCAAATAGCCTGCATTTTCTCAAAGCTACAAGTATGCTGGAGGAGGGAGTGAGTATCAGTGAGAGGACTTTTTGTGATACTGTTTTATTCTCAGTTCTTGATCAGCATTATCTTTCGGGTGTCATATTCATTGCTTGAGAGCTGAAGTGAGCTAGAACGCCTCTTAGCAGGTTTTCTAGTGCTGACCCAGGTGCTATTAAAGTGTCAGGAGAAATTACTACCTCCACAAAACACCAGTTTGATCAGTCCTAGTGCAGTAATCTGGAAAGAATATTCGGTGTTGGAGTCCTGTCAAAAATACTTGAGGACTAACAGGATGTGCTGTTAAACCTCCTTCAGTGCTTAGCTTCATTGAAGTAGATGGCTGGGATTATGAAAGTAATTTTTACTCTCATTTTGAAGCACTTACCTGAGAGAAAGTGCTACCCTATCAAGCCAGGAATAGATGAGCTTTCCAGTCCAGTGTGATTAATGGTAGCTATCCATCTCAGGGATGCTTGAGGAAGATTGCCTAATAGAACCAGCAACGTGGGCATTGATTCTATTCTGTACTCTTGAGTGATGGAAGGTGTTAGGGTGCCTTGGTTCAGGACATGAAGATTGGCAAATGCTCCAAAAATATTTTTGTGTTTTTAAGCCTCTTGTGATTTTTAAACAAATACTGTTTAATGAGAGTTTGAACTTCAGAGTCTTTGATAGTGGTGAACATACATTGTGCTAACTTTCTGTATACTCTTGGAGTTTCACTTGGCCATTTTTTAAACAAGAGCTGCCTTTTAGTTAAACTTTCTCCTTAAATATATGTTTTGTGTTGTGTAACTCTACAAATATCAGGAAAATCACACTACTGTCACATATTTCGTGCTGTTCGTGCACACAAAGTGCTGAGCAATGGCAAGGCAGCTGCTGCAGTGTGGTTATTGCTAATCAATCTGAATAAATCTGAGAATTTTATTGCAGTTTCTCTCCAGAACTGTCAGCATGAAGTATACAAAATCTCTTGCTTTTGTAGCTCAAATGAAGCCTGTAATGAGGTGAAATTCTTAATGTTATATAAGACATCTTATCATGTGGTCTCTTGATTTGTCAGTAAAATATGCCTTGATTATAAGTAAACTGAGAGAGCTTTCATTTCCTTATGGTACTTTTATTGGCTCTATACTTCGGTGGAACTTTTTTTTTTTTTTCAAATTCATCATATTTCTGCTGCTGCTGCTTCCAGTCTTCCACTGCAGTTTTTACTTGGCTTCTAGACCATTACAATTCTCTTTCAGTCATGTGGGTTTGCCAAGTATCTTGGATTTCATACTTAACAGTTTTCGTATCTTCTGTAGGAAATGCCACCATTTGCAAAGAATCCATGCATTGTGCTCAGCTTTATTGTTGCTGGGAATCTTCCAAAGCCAACTGAAAATTGGAAAATTAGGCAGAGCGAGTAATTGTGTGAACGATGCAAATGTTTATCTCTGTGTAGTTGGGTTACAGGGATTTCTTTTTTACAGAAGGAGTCCTGATATTCCAAAACTTGTAACAGTGTATTTGCTGATTGCTTAGCAAAATAAATGCCTGAACTGTGCTCCTGTCTCTTTCCCAGGTAAGAGTCACTTTATTTACTACAAAGCTGGTAACAATTACAGGGTTTGATGAAATTAAACATGAGACTGCTGCTAAAGCTAAATATATTTCTTTGCATTAATTTGACTGAAAAGCCCTAAATTAGCTTAAGAGAAACATGAGTGGTTTTGGTTTTATCTCTAAAATAAATTTTCCATAAGATATTTTGTGGGTGTGGCTGCATGGCTATTTCCTCTGAAGCAAAAACTGAAGCACTTCAAATATTTATGTCACAAACATTACAAGCTTTTTAGTATCTGTGGTGGAAGATATTTTCCCTTGCTGTAAGGAGTACACCTGTTGATGGGTATTGGGAAAAAGCCATTATATAATCATGGAATCATAGAATATACTGAGTTGGAAGCACCCTTCAGGATCTTTGAGTCCAGCTCCTGACCCTGTGCAGGACACCCCAAGAATCCCACCATATGCCTGAGAACATTATCCAGACACTTGAACTCTCCCAGGCTTGATGCTGTGACAGCTGTGACTGAAGGATAGCAGATATTGGCACAGATTACTGTTCAAAGGCTGAAAATCTCACATTATCAAATGTGAGATTCGTCCAAATATGGTATTGAATTTTTAGGCACTTTATTTAAGTATACTTAAAGTTTTGTTCATCTGCTAGTTCTACCCAGTACAGCTGACTGATCCTCTAGTCATACTCTGCTTTGTCAGTCCCTGGAAACAGCCATGTAAGCAGGGAAATGTTTCGGATTAAGAAACGTAATCTGTCAGTGGATTTGTGACTGGGAGATACATTTCCATCTTTCATAGCCACAAGAGCCACTTTCTGGGTTCAGTTCTGCACAATATGGTGGAGAGTTCTGATGCGTTTTTAATTAAGTTTTGAAGACTGCAGTCATTAGGGCCTCTACTTGTACATATTTAAATGGTTGTGAGTCTTGGATTAAAAAATTCAAACAAACCAACTAAAACACAGAGAACATTTAAATGCTAATCTCTGGACTAGTCTGTGGTACTTGAGTCCAGTTAGTATTTCCATTAACTGGTACACTCTTCACCTGCACTTATGTAATATACATGGAACTGTAACAGTTGTCTTTGCAAGGGAATACTTCAAATAAATCATTCCTAGATAGCTACTGGTAATGACAAGCCAGTATTTACCTATATAAAACACCAATACCTGTATTGATTAACATTCTTTGGTACCATTCTGATGGCAGAGGTAAGAACAGGAGTCAGCCTGGCTTTACACCTCAGCACTTCTGTTTTCAGCCAATTAAAAAAGCATAAACAAACAGAAGAATCCATGAACAACAAGACTTTGTTTCAGCCTGTTGAGTGCAAATTGGTCAGCATTTGCCCTGCAACACTGCGGCAAGGGGTGATGGGCTGAGTGTGGACTGCAGGATGCACCAAGTTTCTGGTGCACTCAGCTTCAGCGTGGCCCTATGCCCAAACGTATGCAGGGAGGAGAGCCAAGTGTGCACTTGGAGAATGATGTAGACTCATCCTGTCTGATGGCTAGGGATCAGTGAAATCCAGTTCCCATATGTCACCTCTTGATTTACTATGAAGCTACTGTGGAAAATTGTCAGCACACAAAGCAGATTGCTTTCTTCTAATAGTTTGTGTGAATTTTATTCTCAGTTCTTGGGATTCTTGACCAGCTGTTACCACAGAGTAGCTGCAACAGTGCATGAAAGTATTGCCTGTAGAAGCAACTAGTGCAGCACAGTGTAGAAGCTACCACTGCTTATAGGATTGTGGAATTGACTGCTGGATAACCTTGCAACAGAGTATTTGAGATATGACTTAGCAGCCTGTAATTTGTGTTCCAATTTGAGCCCCAAACCCATGGATTTGGCTCCTTAATGAAAAACTGTGGATAATGTAGTCCCTGTAATCTTTTGATTCTTCTGTCAAAACTCAAGGTTTGGCTGAACTCCAATTTATAATATAAACCTGATCCATCTTAGAATGCAATTGGCCTGACTTTAAAGTATATTCTGTTGGTAGAGAGCAACCATGCTGCCTTTTCCCAGTAAAATGAAATGTTGCTGAATAGAGTTACCCAGTTACTCTATAGAAACCAAATATACTGTACTCAAGGTTCTGCTTTATTAGTCAGTGAAATTATTACTGATCCCAAAATCTGAAATCTGCTACATGCCTTTTTGAATTCTAGAATATGTGAGCAGTGGATGTTAGATTATTAGACAAAAAATATTGCTGAGCTTGTTATGTTTTCAAAGGCACAATAGTTTTAAGAAATAACTTTTTGCTGGAAAAAATTATGTATAAGCATAAAATATTTCATTCTTTCAGAGAGATAACTGGACATTTAAGCACATGAGGTAAGGACAGTGAACACACAGGTTGGATTTCATTCCATAAAAATGTATTTAGCAGGTGTGTGCCATCCTACAAGCACAGTCTTATGCTCCATAAAGGAGAGCTGGAGGAGCACAGTGTAGTTAATCATCAATGCTTGTGTGGATCAGCATGAATAGTTTTTAGAAAGAGTGAGAATTCTATATTCAGCTTGAGAGTTTACAGCTTTTATGCAATATGCCTTTTGAGTAAAGCTAAGCACAGTTCTTCACATGCTTTGTGGGCAATTATATTCTTTGTTGCATGTGAAATGGGGAGTACCAGCCTCTTCTGCCACAGAAATTTGAGTGAAGTGACTAATTTTTCTACTGGAGTGGGAACTTAGTCTCACAACTTATGATTATGTAAAGGATCCAAGTGCCCTATAGGAATGGATAATTACCAAGAGATGCTGTTCACATGGGAAAAACAATGCAAACTTTTTATTAAGGTTCTTACTGAGGAATTCTTATCATTCATCAACCAAATAGATTTGCTTTGAGCTGACAGCAACTATATATTTTTTTCTTTCATCATTCTTGATGTTGCAATAAATATTACAAATTTACAGGAAGCACTGTGTTATCAGGTACACGTTTGAGAAGCTGCTGGGCATCAGCACATCAGAGTGTAAGCAATAAAATAAATGCATGTACCACACATGTGGAAGTCAGATAAACAGTCTGAACCTCCTTCTAGCTGACTAGAAATAAAGGTTTTGAGATATCCATAGACAAAGTGTGAAGAGAAGCACCTTTTTAACATGCTTTCACAGATATCCTTTGCATGATGTTATCTGTACCCCTTTATATCCTTTTAGTAGTTACCTCAGAGAAATGCAATTTCAGCTGCTTTGTTTCCAAACCTTCTGGTTTTGCGACTGGATATTTTAATTCCCATGCATGTAATTACTATAGTAGTTTAGTAGGTTCTTTGCACACAGTTTAAAATCACTTTTATTTTCTCTTTCTTAGAACTGGGCATATACATGTCTCCTGCAACACCATGACTTATAATGGAATTCTGTGAAGGATTGACCTGAAGTTTTATTCTTGAGTAGTGAAGACAAACTGTTGAGAGTTTCAAGATTGGGAGTTTCAAGATTTACTTCTAATACCTAACATGGTACTGAGTTGGATCAGATTGTGTTCAGATTTATATTCTTTTTTGACTACTTCTACTCCCCTTTTTCTGTTTTTCACTGTATTGTAGTAATCCTATAGAAAGCAGTGGAGCTGTCAGCAAGGTCTGTCCTCTGGAACCACAACCCTTGAGGCTTCTCTGCACTGTTGCATCAAGAATTTTGCCTTTCTTTATTGTTTCCTCCTTGAAAAGGGATGCGCTCAGTGCAGAATTAATGATGGCATTAAGGAGTGAGATGCTCTCGTATGAGGTGATGTGAGGCTTGCCAAATGCCTATTTAGACTGCACTAATGCACAGTGGGCTGTTTGAAGTGGAAGCCTGCCAGTGACCTACTGGTGGTGTTCGTGCCTGGGAGCTGGTGCTGTCATTGCCTGGCCCTGTCCCCAGCCTCCCCACTCATCCCTGCTGGCTCCAGTGCTGGTAGCTGCAGGAAGGTGCCTCAGCCACCTCAGTGGCTGCAACTCTGACCCTCTCCCCACACTGCCTGGGAAGCCAAAGCACCTAAATAACACTGTCTTGTTTCACTATCCAGCTGCTTACTGTGAATGGCCAAGAGAGATGCAGAGACAAGGTGGGCAGAGTGTGAGGACAACTTTTATTTTGTAGGAGTGACTGTCACCTTAAATTAATTTAAAGCGTGGCTCAAGGAGTTTGCTAAATGGCAGCCCTGACTCCACAGCAATTAAGGTTAGAAATGTGGGAGAAAGGGCAAAAGAAGCCATCATGTTTTGAGCTGGAAGGTATAATGCTACTGACAGGAGACCTAGCTTACCCTGCCAGTGTTCATGTTCCTGGTTTTGCTGGTAGTGTTCAAACTATTCTGAAATGCTTACTTGAAAAGAGTGGTAATGAGATCTGGCTGAAAAGTCCACAGTTCAGACACAGACTTTTCTTTGACTAAAAGGGTAATTGACTTAGATTCTTATTGCTTAAGTTTGTTTACTCATGTTGAACCACTGACATCCAAAACCATGTTTCAAGTTATGGCATTACTATGAATTAAAAAGCATAGGAGAAATACCCCATGCAGGGCTATAAATTATAACAGCAAGAAGTACTGTGCAAATGGAATTTTGGACTGTCAAAACTTTGTTGCATTGCACTTATTCTAAGCACTGAAAACAAAAGCCTCCAGAAGCTCCGAAGTATTTGAAGGAGTAAATGCAGAAACAAAAGTCTTGACAGTTTTGCAAAATCTTTTCTTGTGGCAAGAAAGACTCGATAAGATCTAAAATGAAGTCCTGCCCAAATATGGTCATGGAAGAGTGCAGGAGCAAAGCCAAAATGTTGGCAGCAGCCATATTTCAATGGGGACAGCTACATCCTTCCCACATTCAGCACAGGACTCCGTAACCCTTGTCTTAAATAGCTGCATCGTGTTTTTGTCAGTTAGCAAACACCAGCTGCGGAGGGCTCTGCTTTGCACAACAGCATAAGAAATTTGCTCTGTATGGCACAAAGAAGCTTTGCCAAGACCAGTGCTGCTTTCCTGGTGCAACTATGGCTGCAGTCAGGGGTTTGTCTTCCAGGCTGTGTCAAGGAGGAGTCTGCCTCCTCCTCCCCATCTTGCAGAACAAGGCTGGCAGGAGCCTGTAGATCAAACAGGAAATTAAAGACAGACCTTTATTTTTTTACACTCTGGTAACTACCTGATCAACAAGCAACCAAGTCCTGACATACTAAGGATTTTCTAACAAAACTAATTTACTGAAAGTTATCAGTCTTTTTGTCTGCAATTACTCTGCAAGAGTCACATAGTGAAATCTCTGTTGTGCTATAGAGAAGTGACATAAAATGGTCAAAATCTGAAACTTGTAACCGGGATGGTACATTGTGGTGGCTCTGTCAACACTTAATTTTAGGCAAAAACTTGTCCTTTTTTCCCCTTATTTTATCTTAATTGTACTTATTTTTGGCCAGACTAAAGGACTGCTACCCCAAAATATCTCTCTGCTCACTTACCAATGGGCAATCCAAAACTCCCAGGCATGGAGACAAACCACAAGAGTTTAAGATGCAGAATAACTTTCTAGAAACAATAGGAAGGCACCCTAGACTGTACTTTGGAGCACAGTAGAAACCCAGTCATTTCACACTGCTTCCCTGACCCTCTTCCCAACAGCAGCAAAGGGAGAAAGGCACAAATGGCACCCAAATGAAAGGGCAAAAAAACGAAATCTCTCATGAAAGTCCAGGTCACTGACATTTTAATTTTGTTAATTTAAAAAAAGAAAAAAATCGTCCTTTTGCCATATGGCAAAAAGAGTCCATCGAGCTTACTTACTATGTGGGAAGGAAGGGAGGAAGGGAGGAAGGAAGGAAGGAAATTCTTAGAGGGGGAGTCAGTGATCAAACAGACAGGGAGGGCCATCTTGGGCTTAAATTCTCCTGGGCAGTGAAGAATGTGTGGGCTACTGCTAGGGGAATCCCTTCCTCAGGCAGCATCTGCTGCTCTTCTAGATACTTTTGAGGGCTGGAAGGATGATTCTCAATGGGTTTGTGTCCTCACTCCATGGGTCATGCAAAGAGGGAGTCATGTGATTCCCTCCTTGTCATACACAGAGACATTTAAGAGGACAGGCTGAAGGCAGGCTCAGGGGAAGAGAGAGGTGACAGAGGGGCTGTATCCAGACTCATCCCCATGCCCTACACCCCACCATCCTTCTCTCATCCAGGGGCTGCTGAAGCATGGATTATTTCCCTTTTAGGGATTTCCTCACACAGAAATGAACAAAGGGAAGACTGTGGAGCTGAAATTGGAATATAGACAGAGCCTAGAGTGGAGCTCTACAACTGCTCGCAGGTCTACTGCTGAAAGTGAAGCTCAGCAAAACAGATCCCTTGTAAAACATTATAAAAATCCTAAATCTAAGTCCTAAATCCTATTATCCCCTTTCCTGTATTTTCACCTTCTTCATGCTGCTGTCTGGTCTGGGTTCTTTTTCCTCAGCCTGAAGCTTCTCTGCATATGTCATGTGCTGCTGGCAGAGCTGAGAGCTGGGGGAAGAGTGATTTTACAGCACAGTGACATTATCCCAGACATTCTCCATTCTCCTGGAACTGTGTGTTAGGAAAAATAGGTAAGTGCAGGCACCTTGCTTTGAAGGCCTCTAAGCCTACTGCTGCCCCTGGACCTTGTATTATCCTGAGAGATGAAGTTTCCCTGGGCTCCCAGCTGGCCATGTAGGGCAAAAGCCATAGAGCACTTTCTGGCAGATGCATGTGGTGCACACAGGTTTCTGCTGAATTAAACTCTGCCAGTGCATGAGAGAAGCCTGCTGGGAGAGTGTGCTTTGCTGTCTGCTTCAAATGGCAAAAGGCTGCCTTGGCTGTGGATGGCAGCGTGTGCTGTGCTGAGCACAGGGCAGTCACGTTGCCTATTAGGAACTGGGCACCCAGTTTAGGAATGTAGCTGTGCTCGGTTCCCTGTATGGGCTATGGGAAGAAAAATACTTATTTGGGGAGAGATTCAGAACAGCAGCTGAACTGCTCTTCCATTCAGCACAATAAAAATGAGACACTAAAATTTCTAAGCGAATAATTGTTATAGAAGGCCTACATAACATTAACTGGTCTGGTAAAAGACTGCATTTGCTGTCCTGTACACACTGCTGTAAGGTCTGTGTTTCTTTACAGCTACTTCAGTTTTTGTTTTGGTTCTTCTAGCAGACTGTGGCATATGGAATGGAAAATTAAAACTTTTGATTTATGTGTTGCTGCTTTCCTACTTTGGCCACGGTAGAAGACTTACAAATGTGAGATGACAACAAATATTTAGTTGTACGAGTAACTGAGATGGTTACATCTGGGAGCAGAGGGAATGGATAATTCATCACTCTAATAGTTTCTATGTGCTGGAAGGGGCTCTGTGGTTTTGTAGAGAAGAATAAATAGAGAAGCATTCCCAGCCCCCCAGGCTGCAAGACCAGCTAAAAACTGAACTGCTGCAAAACAAGTTTACATGAGCATTGCCAGCCTGATGGACACACTAAGAGTTAGCAAAACAGCAAGTACAGTGAGAACAGACAAATACTGTGCATGAGAAATCTTGTTAATATATTCATCCTCTTAACTAAACTTTCTGTGTGGCTAGTTTTTCAATATTTTCTTTTTCTCAAAAGTTTTAGGGAATGTTCTAAATTTTAATAATCTGTGCAATATCTGTATTATCTTGGCACTTGTCCAAAAATGTCAAGAGGCACTGCACTCTTGATGATCAACTTAAAAAAAAAAAAAAAGAAAAAGAAAAAAAGCAGAGCAAGGCCTTCATGGTTTTTAAGCTCAGAAGAGACTATTAAAATAATCAGTCACTCTAATCTCTTTTACAGAAGAAGATTAGGGTACCTTATCAGTTAATTCAGCATAATACCTTTACCTCTGATTTAAATTGCATCTTTCTTAGAAAGCCATGTAGGCTGTGGGATTAAAATATCTGTCTTTAGCTGGTGCTTGACTTTGTTTCAGAAATACCTATTATCTATGGATAGTATGAGTCTTCTCATGTGCTTGCAGACAATGGCACAGGGGAAAACCTCTGGCTATAGTTTTCCCCTCATGAATTTTGCAGTTCCATTCTTTAATATATTCTTGCTGACTTGTGCTCTGTTAGAAAGACAAGATCAGGAAAAACACTCCAGGCATTTCTTGCTAGCTTTCTCAGTCATCAGAATCTGCTCACAGTCACTCTGAGATCTCTGAATAATATTTATAAATATAAGAGGAGAAACTCTTAGATTCATAGAGTTATAAGGAGGCTTCACTAAAGTTTTCTAGGAGGCAAAACTTAATATGCTAAAGTTAGCTTTTGAGAACTAAAGCAATGAGATTTTTCCTTAAGAATTCAGATTTGCAGGAGCTTCCCACTGTGCAATTATTTATCAGTAGCTGGAAAGTCAAAGACAGGGCATAAAATCCAAACAAATCAAGTTCTGTCTTGGTGAGTGCATGGCCGTAATTTGTTGTCTTTAAAATTTTTTGAAGACTAGGCATCTTTACTGTTCAAGTCTGTCTGTACAGTATTATATATTTAAACTGGCTAACAGTAAATCAAACACAGAGCCCTCACTTTGGCCTGCTATTAGCAAAAAAATCTTGTAAAAGCCAAAACATGATAGGCTAAAAGTGCTGAATATTCTGCCTGGGAAGCCTGGCATTCCTCATCTCATACAGGCCTTCAAGTTTAGGGGAATTACTCTGAGGCTATCTAGACAGGATTTAATATCAAAGTTGGTTATGTAGCCAGCCACCTTTTCAATTTCAGACAAACATAGTTCTTGCTTCAGTATGTGACAAGTTACTATTTCTAATCAAAATTATATCTAATATAATTTTGAAACAAGTCACCAAAAAATACCTGCTCAACTAGATGCAATTCTTATTATATATGGAGTATAACAATCAGTTTTTTAGCATGTGGTGATAAATATATGTGTACCATTGACAATTCAGAAGCAAAACTAAAGGTGATAAAAACTAAAAATCACTGGCCTTTATGGGTAGAATCAAATCTTGGATAATGAATAAATATTTATATTGAGTGGGAGAACAAAACAGGCAATCTGAAACAGCAGTTGGTATAAAAATACTAAAGATAGGTAAGCAAAATTTTACATGCTTATATGAAGATTCAGAGTGACAACACTAGAAAGTACCTTTTGAAAATGGAAAGGAACACTTTGATAGTCCCTTTACCTAGATATAATCACTGAGATAGGGCTATTAATAAGTCCAGATAGGAAAGAAACAGGGCAGTCAAACATCTTACTCACAACAGTCATTTAAATAGGCTCAGACTGTAATTCTCTTTGGGCTGTTAATTGCATGTCCACCTGATATTCAGTTCTGAAATTAGATCTTTGTGTTCTTGTTAAATTGGTTATTTAAATACTGAATAATATTACCAAAGGAAGTAAGTCTACTTTGCATTGAAAGGTTTCTTTTAACAGGACAAAATTTTCTTCCATTAAAGCAAAAGAAAAGAGTACATCTCCTTAGAGATTAAGATTTCCTCTGTCAGTCTTCATCCATTCTCAGGCTACAAACAAAAACTGTTGCCATTCATCTAATTGTGGGGAGATCTTAAAAAGAAAGGATCTCTTTATCTCCTGCAGCTTGTTCTCAGGGTGCTGCTTTGGCTCAGGTGACTGTGAAGGGCAGTGGAGAACTAAGGTTTGTTTTTTTTCATGTTGCTTAAATTTTATCAAAAATTTGTGCAGGCATCACTGTTACACAGGATGTACCTATCTGGGTTCCAGCATCTTTGTAAAGCTTACCAGAGGTCTAGATAGCATTGGTGTATTTATTGTGATTCTTTTCTGTGCCTTTTTGTTATAGGCTTGGCATGAAATAGCCTATTTTCTTTTACCAAAAGTTAGCAAATTGCATGTGGATATGAGAGGAAGGTGAATGCTTCTTGAGACAAACACAGAAGTAGTCACGGATAAGGAGATAATTTAGGAGATGATAATTTTCCACATCTGCATTTCTTAAAATCTTTCAAGAAACTTGTCATCTACCATCTTCTCTGTAGTGTTTGTATACTCAAAGATGTTTACTGCGTTCCTTTCCTCTTGGCAGTTTTAGTTTGAAAACAGCTACAGCATGGGAGATTAATTTCAGTTTCTGTATCTCTGTTGTTTAGAAAAGTAGGGTCAAGTTACATTTGTCCATGTCACTGTCTGTCCTTAGCTTAACACTGTTTCAAGATAGTGTTGAAATTTTTGTACTAAAAATATCCACTATAGCTGACAACTAAATGGAATCAAACCTATAAGGTTGTTTTATGTAACACGGAAAGGGAAAGAAAATACCAAACCGAGAAGGAAACATTTGGTCAGTTGCACAGCAGACTTCCAAATTTCAGCTCTTCAGTTTTATGTCTACTGTGATCCCTAAATACATGTATGAGTGTCTGAAGAAGATTATCAGTCAGGAGGCACACAAATATACAAGCCTTCTGGTCACCTAAAAGAAATTTTATAGCTCTGTACTTAGCCAGAGCTCTCCCTGGGTGGAGGAGGGCCAGAGAACAGCTTGGAGCTACATTTCAGCCGTAACTTTTGGATCTGTGGCTGGGACTATGTACACTCCAATGTCTTAAAATTCATATTAAATAAAAATGGGAAATTCATGGGGATAGAAAAGAAACAGAATGTATTTGCTGAGCAGAGGCCAGCACATACAGTGTAATGGCCTTTACTTTGAGATGAAATATTCACCATCTGTACAATGAAACTCATCCTGCAAGCAAAATGTGTTCAGATCTAAGCTTCTGTGACTTCCTCACCCTCTGAAATTATCAAACCTTCTTTTACTCACTTTCACCTCTCCCACTGTTTTGTGTCTGTTTTTGTGTCTGTTTGGTGTCTCTCTAGCCCTACTGCTCCTCCTCTGGCACGTGGTGTACAGCTCCGTGCTCAAACAAGTCACGGTTTCACACTTTCCTGATGTCAAATAGCTCTTCCTTCAAAAACTGCTCTAAGCACCAGGCTCTACTGTTGCTTCTTATGATGCACACACTAAAAACAATCGTTAGAGTTTGCTGGGGCAAGGAACTTCCTCCTGGCTTGGTCGTTAAGCATAACATAATGGTATGACCTATATAAACTGTTTTATGACTTGATCTTTAATCAGTAATGCATTGCTGATATCCTCTTGTGTCTCTTGGTCTTCCTCCCATGACAGTGGGAGTTTTTGAAGGTCTCATCTTGTGATGAAAGTCTTGTTTGTTATAATGGGATTAAGTGTGCTTATGCAACAATGTTCTCATGGATGCTCCTGTACCAGCTGTTTCCCTTATGGCATTGGTTGTCTTCAGTGGCGATGGCTCTGTTACAGTCTTGTGTAGCTATGTGCTTCCAACTTACACTGAATGTGTAGTTAAATTACCAAAATTAAAAAATTTTGCAGTCCAAGCACTGTATGTTTGGGATGGCTTGTGAAAACAAGTCCCAGGTGTACTGAGTATCCAGGGCTAGAACTGCTTCCTTGTCACTGTAGATTTCTCTGTGGGAAGCAGCTCTGGGAAGCACTTGCAGGAACTCCTTGCTGCCACTCTGTGACACAGACGTGGCAGGTGTGGTGCTCCTGGTCATTGGGCTCCAAGTGTCCCTGAGCAGGCCCTGTTGCTTCATTTCCCCCCAGGGCACAGCCCTTCATCCCACAGATGTAACCTGCTGCTCCATACCTGCTTGTGGCTGTCACACTGCCTTTTCCCCTCGTGGAGTGACTGCTGTTTCACTTTAGAAAATGGGTAGCAAGCATATGAAGAGATTTTTTTTGCTGCTAATGTCACCACAGATGGGAGCACAGCCTCCTTGAGAAATCTACATTGGATGTCTTCCACTAAATGTAGTGAGAGAGGGCTTTTTCAGGAGTATGTAGTTTGTGTGATTCATATTCTGATCAAAAAGATGGGGCCCATGTACTTATATAGTTTTTTTAAAGTCAAGTGACTTGTCTATTCTTGACACATGTTCAATTGCTGGGCCATTGTTTCTGCACATGAATTGGCCCTTGTATACTTTCAGTTGCATATGAGTCAAAATCTTGTTCACATATCTTTTGATTTTTCACATTAAAAACTCTTATTTTTACAGTCTTATCATAACAAAGCCACTGAGGAGAACAAGAGTTATAGTAACAGGCCCTCTGTATGCAAACAAAATTCTAATATGCATTCTGCAGAACCCTTGGTAATAATATCCTATATTATATATGCTTAAAAGGATTTTTTAGCATACTAAGAAGAATTAATAGCAAAAAAATGAATAAAGATAATTTTGGATTGATAACTAGTTTTTAAAATTTGCAGTACAGTTTCTGTGACATGAAGTAGTATCCTGAAGGAAGCTGATAGACACAAATAAGTCTCAGCAAAATACCAAGGAAGCTGCAACTGGCAATAATACTTGGATGGCAGAAAATCTTTGTTACCTCTAGATCTAATCTTTATTATGTCAAGATTCTGTGGGATCAAGAACAAATCAAAGGCAAATCCAATTGGACTTTACACCAGTGACTTTTGTGTGCTCAAGGGCAAACCTGATAATCTAAGAAAACTGAGAAAAATAGGCTTTTGTACTTTGAAAAATGCAGTTACTGAGTGTTGCAGGGTTTAAGGAAGTGACATAGTTATCTCAGCTTGTGTTTCCTTTAGCACAATTCCAATGATCTGCTTCCTTTTGCCATGTCTGATTAAGTCTTTTTTCTTCTTTTTAATAATAGGGAGCAGAATATGTAAAATTCTCCATTGTGTAAAAACAAACCAAAATACATCAGTAACTGATCTTTCTAAGATAATTAAACATTGTAAGTAAATCCACCATCTTTCCCCTGTCATTGGTTCTTTGGGCCTACAGATATTGAAATGAAGGGAAGGGACAGATGGGGCAGATGGACAGTTGTCATCTAATCCTGACAGATCTTCTGGCCACCTCCACTGAGAAGAAACTGCAGGGTGTTGTCATTCCCCCGAGTTAAGCCAAATCCATGGCACCAAACGGAATCTATGTAATACACAACAGTTGGGTTTCACCATCACCTCCTATCTCATTTTCTTTTTTACTCTCCTCTTAGAGGTCTTTTTCTGACCTTTGTGTGTGGGTGTTTTCCTAGGATGTGTGACTTAGCTGATTAAGGCTGTGGCATGTCTTGTTTCCCTGCTATGAACCCATGACTAAAAGGGCAGCTAAAAGCAGAATTGAAGTTGTCAGATACTGCTCAGAGTTTGCCAGGTTTTGGAGTGGCTGATAAGACCCTGTGCTGGGTCTGTCTTTTTCCAAGGGCAAGTGAGTTGAAACAGAAGTTATTTTTCCTTTTTAATTCCCATGCTTTGCTCCCCTTTGCTGTGTGGATCTGGTTTGCTACAAGTAAGTAATACTGATTTAGTAGTCCTGATTTCAACTAATTGTAACTTTGGTGTACTCTTTCACACAAAGTAAAATTTTCCCTTATAAAAGCCTAAAGACTGTAGGGAAAGGCAAAAGAAAATCCTTTACTATTCTGCTTAATGTGTTTTGTTGTGAGGGGTTTTTCCTAGTTAAGAAGAGTCAAAGCATTTTAATTTTCACTGTGAAACCAAGTGGATAGTTTGAAACTCCTAATCCAGATGTTATAGACTGTCATATTTAAATAAAGACTTTTGTCCTTTTCTCTATCTTTGTCCCCTTTTCTATCAAACTTAATATACTTCCCTGATCATTTGACAGAAAAAAACACATGGGGAGTTTGGGGAATGGCCAAACCACTTGGACATCTGGCTGGTTAGTGTCCTGTCCTGGATTCTTCACAAAGCTTTCTTTGTACCTCTGACTAGCAAGAGCAATTTTATTCAATACTAAAAAACGTTATATAATCTTAATGTGCTCAGAGTAATTTTTGTCCAGCCCTAATCAGAGACCAAGATATCTTCCATATGCAGGAATCTCCTCTAATATTCTTTTTTAAAATTCAGCACACAGAAAGTACAACCTAAGGCTTTGCTCACCACTATTTAGAGCATAGGGCATAAGTATACTACATAAATTTGAGGGATTTTGCTTTTAGTTTGGCAAAAATGAAAGATGTGCATGTTGCCATATGCAATGAAAGAAATAAACTCAGCTCTGTTGATGCAGCTAGTTTTCTGTGCCAGTTCAGGTGGACTAAATAGTACTTTTCAGCTGCACTTGCACTTTGAATGGGCAGAGCTCAGAAGGGGTAGTTTTGAAAGCACCACAAAGGAAAATAAATGAATGGAAATATCACTACAAATAGCTACCTTATTGAAATCCAGTATATAATTCGTTCCTAGGTTGTTTCTTTCTTTGACCAGTAGTGAAGGATAATGAACTTCAGGGACTGTGGGAACCTGCAAGTGAAACAGAACCATGATATCTTGCAAAAATAACATTGAAAGGACAATGGGGAATCACACTTAATGGGAGAGGAACTACCAAGGTGACTATTTGAATGACAGAACTTTATGTCAAGACTCACTAAATGCCCTCCTTTGTCCTTGGCCAGGATTAATGTTTAATTTGAATGTTTTATCTTGTCTGTGAAAAATTATATTTATGAATGCAGAGAGCAGATCCAAAGTGCAGGGACTACTGCATGCAAAAATCATAGGTTTTTTTTCCCCTGTAGCTGACATCAAAATATAGCTGAAGAACCCAACAACCAACTACTGATCATACAAGCTGGGGTGAAGACTGTAAGCAGTAGCAGTGTAACTGCAGAAAATATTGATCCTAGAGCTAGTATTACTTGATTTGGGCAAAAATTATTAAAAAGTTTCCTCCCTTATGGTCTTGCTTGGATTTAATTAAAATAAGTTCAGCTGTCAGTAGGAAAGGTCTGCTACATGGCCTAAAAGGAAGCCTGTCTTCTTGACCAGTAATAAAAGCACATTTCTGCAACAGGAGAAAAGCAGTCTTAGTTCTGTCACTCTTAAAGTCTAATTCAGAATGGATGTTGCCGTTGGTGCTGCTTTATTTGTACTGAGATCTCCATCCTCACTTAATGCTGATGGGTATACACCTACATTCTTATCTGTGTGTATATGTATAGTCTCATTATACCTATTCTGTGTGCTAACACAGGTGAAAAATGTTGACATTATCCTTTAGGATCACTAGGCAGGGACTGAAATGGATGAGCAAATTATGTGTTTCTGTTAGGAGACAAGCAGTGAATCACCAGAAAATTGTTGCCTTCTGCTAAATCAGCAGAAACATGAGTGTCCCATTGTTAATTGTTTATGAGCTCCTAATAGTTTCCTGTAACAGTTAGCTCAAAATCTACCAATATTGTTCCAAAGCATAAAATCCTCATGCTCTGGTGCTTTGTAGTGATATACATCTGGATAATGTGTGTGCAAAATGTTATCAGTCTGTTGTGGGAGAGTTTTACACCCACTTTTTTGCTGGTGACTATCTATGCTAAGAGGCAGGCATGGAACCAAGCCTTTAAAAAACATTTAATAAGCAGATTAGGCAGAGTTGTCAGAGAAACCTGAGCTGCAGTGCTGCTGTTAATGCTGGAAATCATGACGTATTGCTAAAAAAGAAAATGTTAATTGGACAATTAAAATCCCTATTTATGATATGCAGAAAAGCCTGGGGGTTCTGCTTTAATGTAAAGCTGCGTTTTTGAACTGAAACCATCCATGCTTGCCTTGAAATGACGTGTGGCAATTTACTTATGTATGGTTTATAAATATCTGTACGTTTATGGATTTCTCTAATTTCTAGGTGGGCGACACTGCAGTGCAGTTTCCCTTCCTTGCTGAGGATTATGCTGGCCTGTTCGAAACATTGGAACTGGATGATGCTTCAGTCATGCCATGGTGTGAGAACACTCACTGTACTCAGACCAAATCATCCTGCCCTGAGCTGCCCTTTTCTCACTGTGATTACCAGGAGGTTAGCCCAACTGAACTGGAGTTATACAATCTCCAAAGCTATTGAAATGACCTCAGTAACCTCAAAGAGAAGATGATTTTAGGTGGATCACCTAAGTGGAGTAAGAGTGATTTTCTTGCTTTTAATGAAGTAAAATCATACTGCTCAGAGTGACTCACTAACACCATTTTTCAATTGTTACTTCATGGATTCAGGTTTTAGGTGATTACTTTGCTCTATCATAAGGCACACAATGCAGTGTCATATGAACAGACTTAACGGGCTGCACAGTGTTTATTGAAAAAAACTGTGCACTAAAAGGAGTGAAAAGAAAGATACTACAGTACTATGATTGATATTATAATACTGATTAGTATTATATACTATTAAGATCAAAGAGAGAAAATCAGTAATAAAGATGGGAAATACCTGATATGTTACCTAATATTGTCTTTCTGTTTCAGTGACTACAAAATTAGTCTCTGCTGTCACGAAAGCAGAAGCACCTTAGTTAAGAATTTGAGATGATGCAAAAAGGAAACAATTCAGTTATTTTCACTGGTCGCTTGGTGAGAAACCCATGCAACTGACAAGAGTTGTTCTTTTAAAATGCCATGTTCTGGGAAATGTAATGGAACTTTGCCTATGGAATCAGTCTGAGCTACGAGAAGTACAGCAGAATCCAAAAACTGGGAGGGAGAACTGAACAGGAAGAGTAAGGTCTAGAAGAAGCTAGTATTCCTGAAAATTACGTGAGCAGTTCTACCAAATGCCAAGTAGTCATGTCTAAGATTTTTGTGACGGTACAAAAAGATCCAATCAAGAGGTAGAAAATATTTTTTAAACAGTTAACAATTTGTGTATTGTTGGACAATGACAAGAGTCATTGGGTTTTAAGCAAGATTAAATTATTTTGTACACAAAACAGTAAAACTCATTTAAAAATCAACTGTACAAAAGATTATGAAACAGATATTCAACCACAATGAAAAATTTATGACTGAAAATGAGGGGAGCACTAGACAGTTTCCATTTGTATCAGTTCTTTGCTTGCCACAGAAGCTGACTAGAAAATAGCTCTCACAGATTTTAGGTCCAGTTCAGCATAGCAAACTGTCTTTAAAATAACAACACAAACCCCCAAATCCTTCCTCTTCAGAATTCAGCACATTATACTCTATAAATTTTGATTTAGGTACATTTCAGCATATGTCCTTATTTTGTTCAGTGAACAGTCACAAACAGATGGTGTTTCCAGCTTATAGAGATGAGGAATTTCATTAGGGCTGTGGGATAAGATACTAGGTACCTAAACTAAATATTTATGTAAGATTGTTTCCTCACAGAGCTTCAGAAAACAGTTTTCTTTTTAATTATAGAAGTAACTGAACCATAGCAAATATAAGTTTTGCGCTCTAGCAAGAATACTGTAAGTACTGTTAATGTCTTAATTTATTCCTGTAGTGTGATACAAGACTCCAATTTAGGAATTCTGCTACTCCTTTATAATAACTATTGCTTTTCAATAAATTAATCTATTTGTTTCTGCTTTACAATTGTGTTAATGACTATTTTCTTTCATATTAGCGAAACAGACAAGTGAATGTCGGTTATTTACTATATATCATTTCCCAGATACCTTATCTACAGCAGTTAAGTGCTTGTTGTGACTGGAATGTAATCTCAGTGGTTTTGGTTCTGTTACCTCCATGGAGCTTTCACTTCTTAATGGCTACAGAGACTAATCTTGAGTCAAGAGCCAAACATTTTTCCCTCTGCAATAGTGCAATGATGTTTAGATTTGTGGCTTTTAATGTCAGAAGGAAATTATAGCTCATGCATGCCTTTCCAAGCAGAATAGCTCATGTAGAGGACATTAGAATAACTTAAAGGAAGGCTGGAATAAAATCTTAATAATTATAAAGAAAAACAAATTATGTAACTTGTGTAATTATCCTATATTAAAGAAATTAATAATTAACTGTGTGTGAAAAGTGGGAGCTTCTGTTTATGCTGGCCTGTGAAATAATGGTGGGAAAAAAGTAGCCTTGCTACAGATTTCTCTGAGGAGTATGTGGGGAACATCTATTTTTTTCCTCAGTTATCTGCAGTGGCATGTGCACAGTGTTATTTGTGCTTACGTACGGTATGTAATACTTGTCCCTCTGACTCTGTCACCCAGTGAGGCAGCAGAAACGGTACTCTGTCACTTACATGACACCACAGACATCACAGAAGCTGTGAGAAGTATTCTAAGGAAAAACCCAAATGTATACTCTGAAAACCATGGCCCTATATTTTGTTAACAATGCTGAATAACAAATATATTAGTTAATGACTTGGCACAAAATTTTTGACTCAAAACTAACTAAATTAGGTTCTTCACCCAGCGGGTGGTTGGGCACTGAAACAGGCTCCCCAGGGAAGAGGTCACAGCACTAGCCTGACAGAGTTCAAGCAGTGTTTGGACAAAACTCTCAGGCACTCTTGGGGTGTCCTGTGTAGGTTCAGGAGTTGGACGTGGATGATCCTTCCAACTCAGCATATTCAATGATTCTAATAATTTGTTCCCAGTGAATAATTTGCCTAGTAACAGTTGTAGCTCTGCACTTGTGTTGTCATAATCACAACTGAAATAAGATGTTCTCATTATGACCAGCTTAAGTTTTAGTTTTAAACGCTGGATGTGCCTTGTATGAATATTCAAATCTTGGGCTTTATATTATGATACACTTGAAGAAGTGTACTAGAAAGGCAGACAGAAGGTAAAAATTAAGATATTACTGTAACAATGTTGTGGTACACAGGTTCAGTATTTACAATTGGAAGACCTTGAAAGTTTTCCCTTTTTCTTTCTTTGTTTCCTTCCCCCCCTTTTATTCTGGCAGCTTCTCCAGGCTACTACGTCATCAACTCACATGCTATTTATGAGAAAAATTTCACCTGCTGGCATAAAGGATATCCAGTTGGAGAATGGTCAGTCTGAGTTTTGCATTGATTACCAAATTCTTTTATCACTAATTTATAAGCATTTTAAGTAATGTAAACATTTCCCCATGGAAGAATATTCTTTTTATTGTCTCTAAAGACAAAAGAATTAGTTGCTTCTCCAGAACCTGCCAAAAACTTTGACCTTTGGTAGCTAGTATCTGATTAATACTTGTAATGCATCCTAGCAGAAGCTTCATGTTGTTCCTAGTATTTGTGCTGTCTACCTTCATCCTTCCTCCACCTACAATTGGTTGTCTCAGCAGCCAAGGAAAAAATATTCTTTATCTCTTTAGAAAAAATGCAAGTCTGCCGTATTGCTGAAAATTCATTTTTTGAAAATGCAAGTGTGAATATAATGCCTTCTCAAACAAGTTTTGGGTGTTTTTTTTTTTTGTTTGTTTTTTTTTTTTTTTGAGGTAGACAAAATCTTAACAATTATTCGCATCTCTCAAGTTTCAGAGTAGCCCTATGGCTACTAAAATCTTTCCCAGAAAACTGCCTGTTGCTTTAGAAACAGGGTTGTTAAATATCACAGAACTGAACTTCACAGCAAAGATTGTCATGGCAGGGACAGGGGATGAAATTTTTCTGGTTTTATAAGTTTACTGGAAAATTGTACAGTGGACTGCTGCATATTAATAAGAAGGAAGGCTTTCCCTGCCTTTGTTCCAGCAAGTTATTTAAGTTCTCAGATATTAACTCAATCAGAATAAATCAGGAACATGGAGTATCTAGAATATTACTTTAAAAGGTTTTGGAAAACCTAGAAGAGCTTATTTTCTCCAACTATTTGCAAAACCATTGATTTTTGAGACTGACATATGGTTAACATAAATTATTAAAAAAATTAGAATTACCTTCCTATTGATTCCTTTTCACTGGCTAAAAACTGATGGTATTTCATTTGCAAGAATGCAAGCTGAAGAAGGCACCAGAAACATCTCTATTTATTCATAAAAGTGTGAGATAGATATATCCTTATTGTCATATAGTACATGTAAATAGTTACATAATGACATAACCTGTTACAAGACTGAGGAAACCAAGAAATTCTATTTTAAGGATTCTATTTGATGTGCTCTTTTAATTTAAATCAACATTTTTTAGAAAAATAGTATGTTATTGCCCCTCAAACCCAAAATGACCAAAGGGGAAAAAAGGCCACCTTCAAAAAGCCAGTTCTGGATTTGTGCCTCACCACAGATTCCATTGAATTTATCAGAGTGCATCAGAAAAAAAGAGCAATAAAAACCTCAAAGGATGCAGGAACATGAAAACACAAGCAAACTATTTCCCCCCAAAAGATAAGCCACAAGATCCATTGTTCCCCCTTTTATACGTGTCTGTCCGCCTCCCCCAAATCAAATAATAAAAAGAGAAATTAAAAGCTTTGAACTTTGCCAGGAAGGATGCTTCAGACAGTGATGGTTTCTTGTTCTAGGTGAGAAGTGTAATTTCCAGACTTTGGTGCGGCCATGTTCCAGGCTACACTTAGACATGAGCTCTGTAGCTGCAGAACAGAAGTTTTTATAAAAGGAAAAGCTTGGTTGTCTAAATTTTATTATAACACTGTATCCCCGTGTAAATCCTTGCATACAGGCTACAAATGCAGTACAAAACATGTACCTAATGACAGACGTAATTAACACTTATACTGTACTTTATGAGTTTGGGATAAACACTAATTGAAGAAAATGCAGTGTATTATTGAACTCCAGGGTGATCATGACAAACATATAACTATGTGATCTTAGACATAATTACTCTCACTTAAACTCTGCTAATCTGCAATAAAATCTTTTAAATTCTGTGCAGAATTGGGTCTACTAATTTTATTCTTTCCAAGTCACATTTGGGACCTAAACTGGCATAGATTTTACACTGACTCAATTTCATTGACCACAGGGTGTTGATTTATGACATGTGATATGAGATGCAATCTTTCTAGTTTTACAGTATTTGGAATAACATGTTTGCAAGATTGATATTTGGCTGAAAAGTCTGACATGCTGCAAGAAAGAGCAGCACCAAGAAGAAAGGATAGTATCTACCCCACTTAATTCCTATTGGCATTATCTTATTCTGTGCTCCCAAGAAGAAAAAATTGTGTGGTAGTATATTCTGCTATAAAAAATAAAGAAACACCTGGAATTTCCCCTCATGTTACTGAATACTGAATGTTCACAATACTTATTATTATAAACAGCAAACACTGTTTGTTTGACATAGATTATTACTTTGAGTGTGTACACACAAAATTACCTATGAATCTTCTTGTAATATTTAATTTAGATGATTAGAATTTATGAAACGAAAGTGCTAAAATCCTTATAATAGTGTAAATTTATGTTCAGTTCAGAATCCTGCTGTGATTCCTCAGAAGCACTGTCATGCTGGTGCTGCTGTACTGCCTCTGCATCACACAAAGAAACCTGGGGTTTTTTGTGAAAATTGCTAAGGGCATATTATGGATCTTCACAGCGCTGCTGCCTTGATAATCTAGGCTTGCAGGAGCAAGAAACGCTTGCTGAGCAAAGGCAAAATACACTCAGTACCTGTTGTAGTGACAATTACAAATGGCATGGACATGGGCAGATTTCAAGTGAGATTTTAAGAAGAACATAACAAGAACAGGACCACAAAAGGTCTACAGTAAGTAGCTTAAGGTTGTATTAGGTGGGAGATCTGGACCAAAAATTTGATAGGCTGCTTCTAGATCAGGTGCAAAAGAAGTAGACATAGTACATGCATGTCATGCAAGACAACTAGATGGCTAACAAAACATAAACTGGATCTGGAAGAGAATGCCAATTTTCTTGTGAAAACTTTTTGCTAAGCTTCAGGGGTTGCGTTAGAACTTTTAAATTCATAAACCAGCACAGGATTGTTTTGGCAGAAGTAGAAACTCTTGTTCTGCATTTTTTCTATGGAAAGCACAGTCATCAGCGATAAAAATGGTCAGACTTGTGGAAAACAGTGGGTATGATGAGATGTAATATAGACTAAAAATGATCAAGTAACAATGGGGAACACAAAGTGAATTGCCATGGGGCAATTGTTGACTGACATCTTGAACCTTGGGACTGCCAGTCCTGGGCAGGGAGCCCTGTTCTTCTACACCCACACAAAATATGCAATTCTTCCACACAAAATATGCAATTCTTCTGAATTCCACCTGTAAATATCAGCCATGGAGGATGTTTATTCTTTTGCTTTTCCCATTAGTTCATCTAAGATATAATTCTGTGAACTTTATATTACTTCCTGTTATGATAGAAACTATCATGTTTTTTCATTTTTAACCATTATTTTCCATTGTTTTTAACCATACAGTCACTTTTAATTATTCAGTGCAGTGAACCATAACTGCTGATTAAAACCTCACATCAGCTAAAATGCTGGAACTATATTTAATATATATTTTGCACACGTGTACATATGATATTCTATGTGTACTGCACATATGAATATGTGTCCTTGATGAGTAATTTAACAAGAAGCTTCCATCTACATTAGGCCTTTATCACCATGTTCAGAAAGTTTCTGGAAGAATCTTTACTACTTTTTAACTTTGCTTCCTAAGCAAATTATCTAATGTGGCCAGATATGGTGCATGTGTCTCTGTTACTGCAGAATATCTCTTGACCTAAGTGGAAAATTCCAGCAATTTCACAAAAGGTTAATAGTATCATACAAGCTCCCAGCCATTTCATTAGAACAGATGCACGGGTAAAGAAGACACCAGATAAAACTCTTTGGTGTCTTAACAACTGCAGCATACATTGTACTCATATTAAACACCGACAAAACTGTGTGTTAGAGAAATATCACTGCCCTGGCATGGAGAAGCTTCAGAAGGAGTTTTTGTCTTTGTAAACACCAAGGAGTCTACTTACGAGCCACA